GGCGGACGTAAATATACTCTCGGAGCAAATTCAGTGGTAGATTTTACTAAAGGTGTCCGCATCTTGAAAATATTCCGCTACTACAATACAGAAGGAGTCATTTGGTCGAATGATGTCGAGTGCCCATAAATATTGAATCAGTTTGAGAGTTTTTCATTCACTTTCGCATTTTCACAGCGCACTTCTGTTCATCTTGCTACCGTCTCCTTTCCGGTGTACAATGGGCGAAGCTTTTGCAGACATCTGAACACTTTGGTAAACTTGTTCACTTTCTACTACAAGTTGTTCTTTACAACCTCTCACCACCAATCTGCCACTTATGACAACAGCATATATACATGGCAGTTTAGAGAGCGCAAAGAACCATGCTTTGCAGTAAAGTTTTGATAAGTCGCTAACGCATTCGGATGTCTGCAAACGCTTCGCCCAACGTACACCGGGGAGGCGACGATAACTAAGGGGTATTTTTCAATCCCCTATTTAGGAAGGTGATTCCTGTACATGTAACAGCCCACGCGTGCACTGGCCCCGCGATACACGAAGCCAAGCTGGTGATCGGGCTTCTGTCAACTGGTGAATATGGTAAGCCCGACCTGTCGAGATCGGGCTCTGCTGCCCGACACGGCCAAACTTGCTAGATCGGACCACATTCTGAAGTTTGGTGAATCACGCGATTGGCGCTCTCGTCTGTTCGGACACTCGTTAATAATGGCCCGAATAAGCGAGTTGGACATTGATAAACGCCCCAGATTAGCGTCAGCGTGTTCAGCACAGCACACACTTGCAAAAATCCTGGAGGTTTTCTTATTCTCTTTTCACGTGGAGTGAGCCAAGGAATTCAAAGCTGGATAAGGGCTTTCACTGCTAAATAGGGTAGCTATATCTTGTCCCTCAGAAAACTGGGAAATTTATCAGAAAGAAATTGTAGGAATCAAAAACAAATCGGATTTCTGTGTACTATATGCGTCTTAGATTTCTCACCGTTTAGGCGAGAAGTAGCATCGCCATGAATTATCTGCTCGCCTTGCATTGCTGGTCTTGATAAATGGTCTTGTCTCCGAAACGCGATCCCACTTTCCTTTAACTGTCCTGCCATGTCCCATCAAAGCTACTGCATGCTACTGCAACAGCGAACTCCATCAGTTTCTAATCACCACATTGTTTGCGTGACTTTCGTTTCTCAAGCGCGTTTCTGGTGTTTCCGCTTCCTGTTATCCTGTGTAATTTCTTTATATCAGACGCGACTCAGTCTCAAAAGGTTTTCCTCTACTCAAACAACAGCTCAGTTGCAAAGCCAACCTACTTTCTCGTTTTTAAAAGGGCTGGCAGAGTATTACTTGTAGAGACTTATTGCCCTGCCCAAGACCAAATAAAAGGTCTGGCATGATCGCTAGAAACGACCCCCCCCCCTATATTGTCTCATAAGACCCTTCAGAGCTACAGTGCACTTAAGATAGGCATAACTTGTCTACCAAACATAATGAGTAATTTATCCACAATTAGCAGTAACCCCTGTGGATTGTGCGAATTCTGAAGTTTACTAATACTGGGCCATGGTTGAAATGGTCGTTATCGAAAATGTTTAACTTTGTGGCAAAGGTGAATTTACTATCTCTTTTGGCACTTAATACAAAGCACTGCTCCTCCTTTGCCTATCTCAGAAATCCCGCTTCAAAACCTGCTAATTGTGAAATTATAGGCCAGTAAATAAAAATCTTGCTTTCTCCAATTTTGCTTTTGATGGCTGTAATTTCACCAACCATTACTCACGAAGGAATGGTCAATTTGAAGTGACCAATCCCAGTAAACCTTACACCGTTAATCACTCTATGGAGGACTTACATATCCGGCTTCTGTATCTACCTTATCGGTCTTTTACACAAAGTTATGGCCCTCGATTCCGTTGATATCCTGCTAGACAAAGCTAGAATTCAAGCTGGATGCAAAGCGCAGTGGTAAGCGTGCAGATCCATAAGATGAGAGCCCCGGGTTTTGTTTGCAAGTTCATTCTATTTTGCTTGCTACTCTTTTGCAACTAATTCGCACTATCTAATGTGTTAGCGCGAAGTCTCTAAGGCCTCGGGCAGAGTTAATGCGATTTGATCGTCGCGATTCAATCGCTACAGACAAATGCTACGAGTTCATTGCATGCCGATCTTCCTGCATTTCGATTGTAATAGTTCTCCAACACGACTAATAGTGATAACTATCACAACCGAAATACAAGAAGGTCAGCATCAATAAACTCGTAACACTTGTCTTGTAGCGATTGAATCGCGACGATCAAATCGCGTTAACTCTGTCCGAGGCCTAACGCGGTCAAAAAGATAATTCAACATTGAAGGACAAAAACTTCATTTTTTTATTTTGAGAGTACAAGTACAAGAGTGCAGTTTTTAGCTTTCTCTTTCTTGCTGCTTGGTCTGTTCGATCTTGTTCATCAACATTTTTATTCTTGTTTTCACCATGATCATTTTCAGTTTTTAGGAGAGTGTGATTTATAGAAATTTTAGGTTTTCGAAGTTTTTAGACGTTAAATTACAGTTTGACTGCGTCAAGGACTTTGCGCTAACATCACAGATATTAGGAATGGGTTGCAAAAGAGTACCAAACAAATGGAATCGAACTTATAAACAAAACCCGGGGCTCATCCTATGACTCTGCACAACTACCTGCGCTTTGCGTCCAGCTTGACTTCTAGCTTCGTCAAACTGGGCGACGAGTGTTTATGACGCGCAGCGGCAAACGACGAAATCGATGGCCATAATTTCGTATAAAAGACCGATAAGCAGATACGAAGGAGGATATGTAGCCCTCCATGGAATGTTCAACGGTATACGGTTTGCTGAGACTGAACACTTCAAATTTTAACCAATTCCTTGTGAGTGATAGTTGGTGAAACTATAGCCATCAAAAGCGAAAAATGGGAAAAGAGGTTCCGAATTTTCACTTAGAGGTTCTTTAAAGCGGGATATTTTACCATGAGATAAGTAGAGAAGGAGTATTGCTTTGTATTGAATGCCAAAAGAGGCAGTTGGTTCATTTTGAAACAAAGTTATTCGTGTTCGAAAATGACCACTTCACTGAAATAGCTCAGCATTTGGAGATTTCACAATTAGCACAAGCTTGGTCCAGACTTGAGTTATTTGACGTGCTAATTATGAAGATGTTACTCATTATGCTTGGTAGGGTCCCTTTATCATGTTACGGTGTAGGTATACGATAAAAAGTCAATATCTCATGCGCTGTATTTCCATAATGAGGTGACATTCGAGTAGATTTTCCGCTTAATATAGTTTGCTTGCACAGAAGGTGAAATGCGGTAAAATTTAAGCGTGAACAAGTAGTTTCTGCTGTGACGCTGGCCAATTGCGCGCGCATAATGTCGGCATTACTGGCCTGGCTACTTGCTCACGCGCACATTTCACCTCATTTCACCCTCTGTGCAAGCACACTATATTAAGCGGAAAATCTACTCGAGTGTACTTAAACACCGCTCACGAGTAACATGTTCTCATTATCATCAGTATTACTTAATTACGATCTTATACGATCCCTCAGGTGGTGTGCCAAACCCACGCTTGACCCTGGCCCTGCCTTTTTCAAGGTGGTCTCCGATGAGTATGTGCAGCTTTAAAACTACGAATCCCCTTGCCTTTGACAACTTATACGATCCCCCAGGTGGCCGTGCCATACCCACGCTTGACCCTAGCCCTGCCCTTTTTCAAGGTGATCTCCGATGAGTATGTGCAGCTCTAAAATAGTCCAGCTAGTTTTGGGACAACGTCGAAGATCTTTTTCAACTGCTCATCTGTATAGCTTGAAAATCTTTCAAGACGTTTCCAATCTTTAGCTCTCAGTACTCTATAGTCTGGAAAATGTGCTGATTTAATGTGCTAACCTACCATATCACCTCCAGTTTTGGAAAACTTCTTACGAGAGAACGCTGTATATGTACTAGCCGCAAAGCTGAAAGGATTTTTTCTATTCTTTCATACACCGCCAATACCTACAAGCCCTTCACCAATTTTAAACTTCGTAAAACTTCGAGGGCCATAGAAACGAAAATTATTCCGACTGATTTATAATACTTGGGGGCTAAGCGTTACACTACAGCGCCTGCCACAAGAAACATCACACTCTTATGAATAAGTCAAAAAACGTATGAATTTTGCGCCTTCGTCACCGCGATAGAGCGAAGATTCTCGAAAATCCCTCAATTTACTTTATGTCCATCTGGTTTCATCTTCATTTACCCGTATGTATAAAATGCGATTCGAAAAAGCGCAACCTGAGAGCATATGGAGAGAAATATCGTCTTATCAATAGTTTCCATAAAAACCATAAGCTATGTCAGATGCGAAATGAAACATCCCGCAGCAACACCTAAATTATAATAGTTAATGAGTAGCAGCTGATGCAATCACGCCAGAAAACTATATCAAAACCTAAGACAACCAAGGAAAGAATATCGAAAAAATGAAATTGGAAACAGATGCCGCATACGCGGGCCTCAAAATTTGCGAAAATACTTCGAATGGTGCGAGGTCGCGGCAAAAACTGCCTTCTACTTTGTGGTATAACATTAGGTCGCCAGACTAAATGTCCCAAAAATTGTGCACACGTGTTGCTAATATTCTCTCTTGCTTTAACGTCTGAAACACTATATCGCAAACAGAAATCTCAACACACCATACATTCTGAAAAACCCGCGTACCCCGAAAGTGGGTCTCCCGATAATCTCCCGCTTCTATTTAACTGCCGGGATAACGAAAGAGTCCGAGTGTCGCGCAAGACTCCCGATTTTCTCGCGAATTTTCATTTTGTGGGCGGATCTCCTGCGGGATTTAACCGCGAATGTCTGAGTAAAAGGTGTATTTGTCGCAGACCGGCGAGACCTTCGCGACATATAGTTCCCTACCCCATTTGTTTCTCTGTTTTATGTCAAAGAATTTCGTTTGTTCGTCGTTTCATCAAAAACTCTATGCTCACTTTCTCAGGATATTTTTTCCAGCGACTTACGTCACTTCGACAAGAATGAGAATTTTCAACCTTACCTTCTTGTTACTTACCATCTTAATGGTACGTTGACCAAGCAAGACATGACTTAGTTTGCCATCTTACTCCTTAGATTTACTGATGTACATTAATTCAATGCTTACAGGTTCTCTCTGCTGTGGACGTTGGTGAATGTGTCTTGCAAGCACTCAAAAGATTTAAAGACATTGTTATGTGGCCTGCGGAAGTTAAGAAAACGGTTAAGAACAACATTGCATTCATGGGACTATGGGGACGAAAGAGAACTTGATATTTCGTGCTCGATTGTCGATAAACCTTGGCATTGTGTTTTAAGTTGTAATACAGCCTTTAAGCTTCGAACAAAGTTGGTAGCAAGACTCTATTACGCGATAAGCCAAAGTTTCGGCAATCCGTCCGTCTTCCACATGGCTTCTTGAAAGATCGAGACTTTGAGAACTGCTTGCTCAAATGCCCTCTTCGGCAATAGATTCAGTTTAGCTATGTGATGGAGTGGAAGAATAGATGTCGAAAACATGACTTCAGCCTTGTCAGATAGGGATTTAGAGACCTAACAACCAGTACTGTGCTGCAGCTGCGCTATGAGTAGTATGATAGTCAGCATTAAGAATGCTCTTTACATGAATATAGATTATAAATCATTAATTTACATCTAACGAATACGAGCATGTTTTTCTCGAGCAAGTTAAGCACCACTAAGTATAGGATGTGTCATCGAATTATTCGATGTCACTTCATTATAAACGAACGTATTGAAAGAAGCGGCTATGGAAGCGGTTTAGAGATATACGAACACCTTGTTCCATCAACATGTACGGCTTTGATATCCGGCAGGTGATGGTGCTTTTGAAAGGATGCCTCAACTGCAGCATATTTCGATGGTGTGAGCTACCATAAGCAAAACAGGCGATTAGCGATGGGCCAAAGGCTGGAACCAGTCGCTGCCATTGCCTATATGTCAAAAATCGAGAGCTCCGTACTTGCGCGCAAACCAATACTTTATTGCCGCTATATAGGTGATTAATGTATAGTGTGCGCGGCATAAGACGAGCTAGACACTTGCTTCAATTTGCTAAACAACCAATCCCCTAATATAAACTTTACACGAGAGAAGCCCAGCGAAAACTGGCTGCCATTTCTCAACGTCCAAATGCAGTTGCGTGATGAATCGTAAAAGACCAAGTGGTTTCGAAAACTAAGTAGCAAAAATATATTGATACACTATCTCTCGGCCCACCCCTGGAGCACAAAAAGTTCGGTAATCTATAATAAGTTTAGGACTGCCAAGACAGTTTCTTTCGATCAAGAGCGCTTTCCATCGCTGAGTCTTGCCAGACAGATTGCACAGTCCAGTGTTTACCTAAAGCATTTATCGAAATGTACCTGGCAAGAATACAGACCGCGTACAAGTAAGAATGAAGCAAAGATACCTTTTTGTGCTCCTTTTTATCTGAAGAATTCAGCAAAGCGATAAGAAAAAGCTTAGAACAAGGCCTCAAAGACTCTGTCAGACTTGTAGATATTCCGCCTCCTAGTCTTAGAAAACAACTAATTCGTAATCGCTCTCACGATCGACTATGCATGAGTGACGATTGCGTCGTATGCCCATTTGGTCAACCAGGCGATTGCATGGAGGCAAAAGTAGTTTATAAAATAACTTGTCAAACTTCCGGGAAAGAATACATAGGAGAAACTGGCAGGCCTCTTTGTTGAGAATCCAAGAGCACCTACTCAGATAATCGCCGGGGACAGGCTGCCATGCGATTTATGGGCGGGCGGGCACCGGATAAATAGTTCACTGATTTCTTGCGGTCCGCTTGCCGATATTTGGAGAAATTTTAACGAGATGTTGGACGAATGCTTGGAGAACGACCGCGGTTTCTTTATAGATTAGCAGCGGTGCAGTGGCCGCATTCTCGCGGACTTTCCGCGAGAATATTCAAAATTTTCGAAGGCCGCACGGTCCTTTGGGAAGGACCGCGCAATCCCCAGGTACTTCCCGCTGTGAGAAAGTATCTCAAACTTGAGTAACTGAACCATCGATGACACCTCTGCCATGTAGAGTCTCATATTTGCTTGGCGTACGCCCGAAACTGCTTAAAAACCGTCCGAACGCCAGCTGAAAATTTGACCGGCGCTCGCTGAAAGAGATTATTTGACGAACGCCTGTAGAAAATTCTGTTTTGCTACCCGCTGGCAGAACACAGTAAAGGAAGTAGCGCTCGCTGAAAGTTTGGCCATGCCCCAAAATTGTGCTGACCGCTTGCAGAAAAGCGCGAGTTTGCGGACCTCCTGCCCTCTGCGATTATTTGAGTAGATGGCCTTATAAAATCTAAGTCTCCCACTCCTTACTAGGCGCACATCGCAGAGAGGATCACTCGGATCAACAATTCAATATAGTTGTCACAATCTTAACGCGTGAACCCGAAGTAATTCCTCGGTAAATGCTAGAAGTATTTTGGATAACATCCAAAGCTCCTACAATGAACCGCAAGGAAGAGGGCTTTGCCATAAATTGTTATCTAATTGCATATCAATCCTTTTGCGGATTTGATCTACATTTAGTTTAGATTCATCTATATAAGGCACTTGTACTTTCTCTACTACTACTTACTGTGCAGACGCTGTGTTTGGTGGTGGCTCAACCCCGATTAGAAGACTGCCAAGGTGAGCATGGGCGACGGTTTCCGTCACGGCTTTCGGCTTGACCTGATGCTAATAGCTTTGGCTTGAACGAGGTGTTCGGGAGAACAAAGCACTGATGTCTACGACCTTCCAAGCTCTGACGAAGGTGTAGGCACCCGAACCCTAACTGAATAAATCGCCCCATTGAATAAATCGTGTTGCAATCTTGGTGATTGGCTAGAGTGAACATATACGAATATCCATATCATGCCAAGATTTATCAATGATCGAGTGGAGGCCCTCTACATAATTGTAAAAAAATTTCGTATCAGAATCCGCATAGTGTCTGATAGGAAATGGTTCGCTGTTTATGGCAATGCCTTCATGTTTGCGGTTCATTTTTGGTGGTTTAGACGCTATCCAAAAGACCTCCAATGTTTTGCGGGCTACTAACTCGAATTCGTGCGAGAAGATCGTAACAGTGATTTGATAATACTGGTTTTCGTGACATAACCTTCGACGTGCACCCAAAGGTGTGGGCATTTTGGATTTTCTTAGGCCGTCAAGATGCCCTTTGATTCTTGTGCACAAGAGTCCGCCGGTCTCTTCTATGTATAGGTCACCGCATTTTTACAGTTTATGAGATATAACATTTCTAATTCCATGCAGTCGCCTGGTTTTCTACTCAGATGATACAATTGGCGGTCGTGCACATTCTGTCATACACTCGTTGCGGCTTAGTTTTTTTTTTTGAGATTAGGATTAGGGATGCCTATAACGCTGACGGAATCATCGAGGCCAGCTTGAAACAAAGATTTTCTGATAGCTCTGCTAAAATTGTTAAATACGAAGAATAGAATACGAATCTGTATTTTTATTGCCTGGTTCATTTCGATCGGTATGCTTTCTTGCCTATATGTATGCGTTAGTGCACCTTCACGGGATAGTTGTTAGAATGTGCAATTTCTCTGGCAAGATTCATCAATGGAGTGTTGCGCTGTTCAACGTTGGTCCGCTTTGCGTAGCCTTGGAGCATGAAACAGTTCGTGATAGGCAACATGTTCAAGACAGCAAAATCGGTCTAATTAATATATTCTTATTAACTCGTTTGCAACTATTTAGTTACGTATGATCCGTAAGATAAAAACCGTTTCGGAATGCTAGCCAATTTTCATCGGGTTTATCCCGCATGACTCTTATGTTAGGGGATTGGTTATTCAGATTATCAAAGCATATGCTCCACTGCTAGGCCACGTACCTGCTTGTAATACCTTTTTGAAGCGGATTATGCTGCAATTCAGGCTTTTTCAAAAGTGTCATGATTTGTCCAGCACTGAACCCGTACATGTTGTGAGCAGATTGGTGTTCCGAGAGTAGCTCACACACGGCTTCCTTAGCATCATCCTCGGAGACATTTGTGTACAACAAGTGACATCTAAAGTCTTAATCGCACATTCTCCATTAACAAAAACACATACCTTAGTAAATGTGCTATGATCAAGTACAACAGCCATGGGATTCTATCATCCGGGCCACAGCAGCTGCTTTTAATAGGTCTTACTTTGTTAGTCTATGGACTTCCAGAGAAAAATTCTGGCGCAAGCAGTTTGTGTGTCTTTATTAGCATGTAAAGGGCTAGGCATTTGGGTAAAGCGATCTTAAGATGCGATAAAGTTTTAGGTAAGCCGATAGAGTTCGCTATTTATCCACATTCTTTTCAGACGCTTTGTTTTACAAAGCCTTGTTTGAAAGAAGCGCAATACAGAGTGCTATCGTCAAAATGGTGTCCGGTTAAGGCCATATCTAAGCTACGCGTCATCACAACGAATTCCCATTCCTTATCTCGGTTGATTTTCTTACTTCATTTTCAGTGCATGGATTATGAAGTTCACGGAAACCCCGACGATGAATGAGAGTGAGATTTCTAGTGATATGCTTTTTTACGAACTGTATCAGAGTGCTGAAGATATCGATCGAAATGAACCAGACAACAAAAATGCCGTTTTGTGTTCTATTCAATGTGTTCCATTCGTATTTGATGCAGAGCTATTTAGCAGAGTTAACAGAAATCTGTGTTTCAAGTGGGCCTCGATGATTCCTTCAAAGTTGTAGATATATCTACTCTCAATCTCAAAAACAACTGAGCCGCAATCGAGCGCATGAGAAAATGTTCACAATCGCCGATTTTATTATCTGAGTGTTGGAAAACCAGGCGACTGCATGGAATCAGGAGTGGTCTATTGGGCGGGCAGTTCTCAAAGTTTCGATTTCAGAAAACCCTGATGAAGGCGGACGGAACGCCAACGCTGGCTTATCTCGTAATAAAATCCTGCTACCAATCTTGGTCGACAGCTTAAAGAATGTATTACAACTGGGATATCGACAGTTTACCTTTGTGCACATCAGCTTACAAACAATATCAGTTTCACAATTTCAACTTTTCAACACGAATACAAACACTTTTGATCACATTTTTTCTCCCATTGTATCGCGACCATTGCTATAAAAAGAAAAGTGAGAACATACCTAAGTGACATACAATACCGCTCACATTTTTTGAAAAATAGACGCGAATGTATGGACATGTATGGACATGTCCGCGCATGTATGGACATGTCCGTACATGTCCATACATGTCCATACATTCGCGTCTATTTTTCAAAAAATGTGAGCGGTATTGTAAAT